ACAGAAAAATCCAAAGAGATAGAAAGTAGATTAGTAATTTTTCTAGGTTGGGGAGAGGAAGCAATGGAGAGTGAAAGCTTAATGGGTATTGGGTTTCTTTTGGGAGTTATGAAAATATTCTGGAATTAGGTAGTAGTAATGGCTGCACAACTTTGTACTAAAACCACTGAATTGTACAATTTAAATGGGCAAATTGGCCCGACCAATGTGGGTCAGTGGTTCAGCATCAACCCATGCACCAAGAGGTCATTGGTTCAATTCCTGATCAGGACACATGCCCAGGTTGTGGGCCCAATCTTCAGTGGAGGGCATGCAGGAGGTGGTCAATTGATGTTTTTTCTTATCGATGTTTCTATCTGTCTCTTCCTCTCCCTTCCTCTCTCTCTAAAAATCAATAAAGAAAAAATATTTTAAAAAATAAAAATAAAAAATAAATGGGCAAATTGTGTGGTATGTAAATTATATCTCAATGCAGCCATTATTTAAAGAATAAATCATATTCATTACAAACTCTATTACCCATCCCTTTCCTCCATCAGAACTGCCTGGCAAAACCTTTCATCCCCAAATTCCATGCTGCATTTTGCAATAGTATTTCTTTCCCTTCAATGCTAACTGAGATGATCATTTTAACTGATTTTTTTAAAATAAAAATGCTGGCCCTGGCCAGTTTGAGTCAGTGATTAGAGGATTGGCCTGTGGACCAATGAGGCGCGGGTTTGATTCCGGTCAAGGGCACATACCTCAGTTGCAGTTTGTCCCTGGCTCTAGTTGAGGTCATGCAGGAGGCAACCAGTCGATGTGTCTCTCTCACATCAATGTTTCTCTCTCTCCCACCCACTCTATCTGAAGATAAATAGAAAAAAAAAAATTAAAATGCTAGGGGTGAAGGCTGCAGGAAACTCTCTTGTGTTTTGACTCCAGGCCCAGATGCTACCGATGGATGATACTGACAGGGAATAGTTTAGAACAGAATAGGCAAAGGTCTTTGTCCTCAGGGAGCTTATAGGGAAAAGAAAAGGCCCAGAGGATACATGAATAATTTTTGCATCAGGTATCTTTCAAAGATTCTAACAGTCCAACCTCATCATTTTATAGAAGAAAGACATTATTCCATCCTGGCTACTGATGATCTGACCTTGTGTATAACCTCCCACCAACTAGTGTTCTGTGAGTGTACTATCAGCCACTTGCTGCACATCTCTCCTTCCTCTCCTGTTCCCTTGGGGATGCCAGCTACCTCTTACAAGTCAGCTCTGGTTTCAGTGCCTTTGAAAGCTCAAACTATCCCTGAGCCGTATATGATTCAGAGGGGTTCTGAATGCTAATAAAGATGCCAAGAGCTTTTAGACCCATTTTCTGTTCCTGCTGAGTTGAGAGTTGGAAGTGGAGGTGGGTGGGTGAGGAGCCAAATTTGGGTTACCTTTTCCTTCAGAACTTTGGTTTTGCTTGAAGAAGAAGAAATTTACCTCAAACACTAGCTAGCACTCATGGGACAGGCAGCCTTGGGGTATCACCTCAGATGACCAGTCCTTGTTGTTAATCCTCACCCAAGGATCCCCCCCCATTGCTTTTTAGAGAGAGTGGAGGGGGAGAGGGGTAGAGAGAAAGAGAAACGTGGATGTGAGAGAGACACATCCACCACTTGCCTCCTGCATGTGTGGGAGGGGTATTGAACTTGCAACCCAGGTACGTGCCCTTGACCAGGAATCGAACCTGTGACACTTCAGTGCACAGGCCAATCACAGAGCTACACCAGCCACACCAGCCAGGGCAGAGATCAGTACTCTTAATGGGGAAGGGGTTCCCAAGGCCTCAGAAGTCGCCTGACCATCAAAATTTCCAGTGTCTCTAGTCCTAAGAAGAGTAAGGGGCTGAAGTCTAAGATTGCCTCAAAGAGGAAAGAGGGTTGGACAGAAACAGGACAAATTCTCAGTTATTTCTCCCAGCAGGACAAAAGGAACTTGGAAATAAGAGACCAGAGGATTTAATGACCTAAAGCTCCAGAGAGTCCTGGGGCTGAAAATAGAGAAGATGGTGGGTGAGGGGGATCAGATGGCAGGGAATTTACAGTTCTATACCAGCCATGGAGGAATCCAGAAAAAGTGTAACAGCAGGAGCTCTGCCTTCAAGGAGCATATGGTAATTTACTTGTGGAGTAAAAATTAATACACTTAAAATAATTTGTAATTTGGTACTAAACTATTGATAAAAATGCATTGTAGGAACTTTGAGAAGGGACAGTCATGCAGCTTGGCATCCTCTGTGAGAGGAATGGCTGACTCGGGCAGTGGGTCTTTCAAGGAACTTTATGCCCTGGCTACAGTGGCTACAACTTTTAAAGATGAATGTGCCTGAGTCTTTCCTAGAGGAAGCATGGGGGAGGAAGGTTCATCATCATCACCATTTGTCTATCACTATTGTTATCAACAAGAACTACAATAAACATTAATTGAGCATCCCTCCCTGGGTATACACTTCTGTTGGAGAGGCATAGCAAACAGAAATTCTTGAAGGACTAGTACAAGACAGCCTGTGCCAGTAGCAAAAAGACAGAGGGAAAAGTGAGGCTTGGGAAGTAAGAGAAGGCTTCCTGGAGGCGGGAGTACAGGCATACCTTGGAGATATCTCAGGTTCAGTTCCAGACCACTGCAATAAAGTGAGTCATAAGTTTTTTGCTGCCAGAGGGTCTTTCCTTCAATTTTTAAAATTTATAATATCTGTGAAGCACCATAACGTGAAGAACAACAAAACAAGGTATGCCTGTACTTGAGCTGACCCTTAAAGGAAGGTTAGGATTTGGACTACAGAGAAAAGAGTGAAGGGGACTGTAAATGGCCTCAAAAAGGCACAGAGGTGGGGTGAGCAAGGCAAGTATGATTAAGTGAGAAAACCTACTGGACTAGAACAAAGGGTGTGTGGTAGGGTAAAGTGGGCAATAAAGTTGGAGAGGGAAGTTCTAGTGTAGTGATTATAGAGTCTTGAATGTCAGACAAAAGGAGTTGTTTTGGAACAAGTAGGAAGGCCTTGTAGATTTATGTATTTGGGGAGTTATTAGGATACAGGGAAGGAGAAAAGGCTAAAGGAAAAACATTGGGATTCCACATTCTTCCTAGTTTGTCTCCAGTGTTACGGTGACCCTCATTCTATCTCAGGAAACTGAGATGAGTTTGTCACCTTACTTGAGTTCCATCTTGAGACTAGGTTCCTAAGAAGCCCCCAAGAAGTTCTGCATCATATGTTGGTGGAGAACCTTGTGCCAGGTAGAAAGTCCCAACCAATCAACACTATGTGTGAGGTGTTTTCAGATAGTGTTGAGCTGCCTTGTGAAACAGAAAAGTGGAAAGATCAGCCTTCTAGCCCAGCTGGTAGCACAGGTGCAGACCAAGATGGGGCGACTGTTTCAAAGGCAACACCCTTTAGAAGTTGATCTGTCTCTGAATCAGCCTTGGGGAAAGAAGACAGCAATTGCAGGGATTTTAAAAACCAGCACCACAAGACTGTCTTTCATCATATTGGTGGCTGGTACTTGACCACTCCTCTTCTAGAGTCGTTTTACTAACTTCCTGCCGCAAAAGGAAATTGTCACAGGCTCTGCTACATTTATATTATTATCAGGATGCAGATGTTTTCTCTTTTTCTCTGGGGTTTAAAGTTATGCAAATGAAGGTATGAAAACAAAAGCTCGGTGAGGTGGGGAAGTATTGCTCTTAAGAATCCAGGCAATTTCCAGGGCTCTTTAAGATACCCCTCTTAGTTTTTATTAACAGCTCTCTGGGCTTCTCTCCAGTTTATTTAGAAATTGGCACCTCTTCAGAACCTTCCAACCAAAAACCTGTAAGTTCATTCTAAAGTTCCTATCCTGGCCTCATTTTGCAAGTGGGGGAATCAAGGCATGTAATATGAGCTTTCAGTGTCTGTGGAATAATCTTGAGTCTTGACACCCCCCCCCCCATCATTTTTCATCTTCCTTCTGCTGCATACAATTTTACCTGGAAAAGAAACGCTATGGCCCAAGTGCCTCCCAGGTCTTCCCCTAACCGTGGTATTATCTGGAGGGCAATAGGACCTAGGGAGGTTTAACCCTGAGGCCCAGAGAGACACACCTGCCTAACCGCGTGGGTTGAGCGAGTGTGGGAGCAAGCTAGTTAGGGAGGGCGGAGTAGAAGCTGGGCGTCTGCTGCTTTTGGGGGAAAGGACAGCTGTGGCTACCTCCAGTCCGGGAGTCGTGGTGAGAAGTGCTTCTGAAGACTGGTCCAAGCCCCCTTTTTTCGTGCCTCCACAAAGAGCATCCCGCCCTTGAACAGGCAGGCTGGCTTTGTTTGGCCCCAGTTGTTTCTCCCATTTCGCCGGCCCCTTCATCAGTGCCTTAATTCCCGAAGTCACGGTCCTCTCACCGCTGACCCCGGCTGCAGATGGCACTCAAGTTTGGCGATATCTGCCTGGCCAGGTTGGCGCCCCGCACGTCGTGCTTTTCGGAAGCGAAGTTTCTTCGTGGGAAAGAAGCCCCTCCAGCTTCCTCTTAATCCTGTAGCGCGCGCGCGCTCAGCTCCTCTCCCCCAGGACTGCGCTCAGGGACAGGGTTGTGGCTTTGCTCCTGCCTACCGCCCGGCTGCCTTGGGGGCGGAGCTTGCGGAATCCGAGGAGCCAGCCTGAGAACCCTCGGCTGAGCGCGGGTCCTGCGAGAGCACCTGGCGAGCGGGCGAGCTGATAGCCACTCAGGCTGCGTCCCCTCTACTGTCCTGGCTCAGTTCTTGGCTGATTTGAGAAGGCACACTGATCAGGACTCCTCGAAAGGAGCTCTGAGTGCCGGTGCTCCACGGAGCGGCTCTCCTGCCCGGGGTTGGGGTGGGGGGAGGCTGAGAAAGGAGCCCACACGGAAACAGCTGTCCCCATGGCCCTTCAACCGCCTGGAATTGAACTCTGGATGGGGCACTAAAATGCTTGCTTTTGCCTTGTCCAACTTTCACAGCATGTGTACCGATGATTGGAATCCCAAGCCAATCAAGTTCAAAGTGGTACTCCTGGGCTCTCCATCCCAGACTCCAACAAGTCTAATTTGAGACTAGAAGAGATCTTCTGCTCTAACTAGTAGATCTCCGTTCTGGAATTGACAGCTCTTCTCACCAATACTTGGACTGCAGTGGCTACAGGGTTCTCCTAGGGAATTGGAGGAAGGTTCTCTGAAGATCAGACCAAAACGCTCTGAACCTCGACAATGGACCGAGTTTATGAAATTCCTGAGGAGCCAAATGTGGATCCAGTTTCATCTCTGGAGGAAGATGTCATTCGTGGGGCCAATCCCCGATTTACCTTTCCATTTGGCATCCTTTTCTCCACCTTTTTGTACTGTGGGGAGGCTGTATCTGCCTTATACATGGTTAGAATCTATCGGAAGAATAGTGAAACCTACTGGATGACATACACCTTTTCCTTCTTTATGTTTTCATCCATTATGGTCCAGTTGACACTCATATTTGTCCACAGAGATCTGGCCAAAGACAAGCCTTTATCATTGTTCATGCATCTAATACTTTTGGGCCCTGTTATCAGGTGAGTACTTTTTAATCTCTTCCCTCTTCTACCCCTCCCCCCACCCTACCTCCAACTTGTGCAGAGAAAGATGAAGCTAATATTTTCAAGACTGATACTGTGCCTCTAGTTGATTCTCTCATTTCCTCCCACTCTTGACGTCCCTTTCTACCATCCAAAAACTCTTATCTGAAATCTTAAATGCCACCATGATGAACAAGTGGCATGTACCTGTGTTGCAAAACTTTGTATGATATCATTGCTAAGACTTCATTAGATAATGTTTGCTATCTGGATTTGGATTGTGAAAATTGGTATGGGACAAACTGATGTGGTCACCTTGTGCACACAGGCCATACTTAGCTTAAGAGTGTGTTATTTTGACTCTGCCTTTTAGACGCTCTCTAAGTTGAATGAAAGTTCCTAACACCCTCCATCCCATCTCACATTCAGTTTCTTTATCCTGAACTGCTTGGGCTGGTGCTGCTATCATTTACATTTTTTCCAGAGTTATTTGAAAATATTTTAAGCCATCTGGGGCCATCTGGTACCCCAACTCACTGTAGTTCGTTTTTCTTTGTCAGTTCATCCATCTCCTGTTTATCTCTTTGTATCTTTCTGAAATAAAGGTACATGGTTAGAAGGGGGCAAAGAAAGACAGTCCATTTGGATTCTGTAGCACAATGTAATAGCATCAAGTCTTTCCATTCAAATTGCCTTGAAGGTACAAGAATGTGCCTTATCCCACGGAGATAGTCATCGGTGTCAGCAGTCTCATCTGGACACTATGGGATTGTCCAGATAGAGAGATGTTGCAAAACTTATGAGGTCAGGAGAAAGGAATGGACCAAGTTTGTCTTGATTGCAAGAGAGGCAGAAACCTGCAGTCAGCTGAGAAATATGGGTCAGAGTGCTGATGTTGTAATTGCAATGGGAAGATATATTATCCTTATGGAAATAAACACAGTCCAAAGTTGATTAAGCATGGAATGCCCCCCTTTAAAAAGTTTTTAACAATATATGTTTAAATGAGGAGGAATTGATTAGGCTTCATCAGAGAAAATATGGATATAAATAGAAACAGTGGCCTGCGATTCAGGAGACCTAGTATCTAACCCTCCTTCTGTCACTGACTAGTTGCATAGCCTTGGTGAAATCCCTGAAGATGCCTTGGACCACAGTTCCTTCATCTGTAAAATAAGTGGGTTGTATGGGCTAGATCATGGGTCTCAAATGCTTACAGAGGCCAGGCAGGCATCATAAATAGTAAAATGGGCCAAGTATGAGAAAAACAATAGCTTCACATGTGATTATAAATGAAAATAAAGCTCAATGTTAAATGATGGAGAGTAGTGAGGACTGTGGCAATCTGGAGTCCACATGATCCGCCTCCTTTGAGGCAGCCGCTTTATAGCTCCCACCCATTGTTTCCCTGTTGGAATTCAGACTCAGTATTGCCAGATCCCCCTACTTTCCAGGAGAAGCTCTCAAAATAGGGTTTTATATGAAATACCATGCTTTTAAATTTTGGCACCTGACTAATTAAATAAAAACATGGTATGGGCCAAACAAACCACAGCTGTTGGTCAAATGTTGTTCAGCTGGTCCATATCCAACCTTTGGACTAGGTAATCTAAAAAGGTCCTTTTCAGTTCTAAATCTTTGAAGTTAAGCTTTAAGAGGAAGACCTCATCTTCAACTTGGAACCAAAAAATTTAGAGATGTCACTAGAGGACATTGAAAGCCATTCTTCTCTCCCTTTTCAAATGCAATATTTTGAGTTAACAGATCAAGCATTCTCAAGATGCAAATTTCAGCAAGTTCCTCACCAACCCCCAGTTCTGACTTCCCCTGTTTGCTTTGTGGCCTCCTAAGCCATCTTTGATTTGGACCCTCCATATGGAGTGTTGAGTACTAGATTTTATTTTTGTCATTTATCTTCCACTAGAAATGAGTGGAAAACATTTATAATCTCTGTCAGTTTAGCCCCACAGCAGGGAAAAACAATGAAAAGCTGATAAATTATATCCTCGATATGCTTATTTTCAAGGCAAACTACTTTTTAAGCAGGTAGGAACTTGATTAGAGCTATTAGGCACCAGAAGGTGTTTGGAGGGCCTGGCTCCCTTATATAATGCAAAAAAAAAAAAAAAAAAAACACACAACAACTTCTGGAAATGAAAATGTACTCTAACTTACTGAAGCTTACAAGCAAGGCAAATACCCTTACTTAAACCAGTAAATATCCTTAAAAATAGAAGCATAAAGAAAATGCTTTATGCCACTGCCTCCTTCAATATTTTATTAAGCAATAGCATTGATGAACTTGGGTTAAAATCTAAAACCTTTTGTTAGAAATGCATTTAGGCATTTTCCCTGAATAGGAAGAGAATGTTGCTTTCAATTTTTTTCTTCTTTATTGATTTTAGAGAGAGAAAGGAAGAGAGCGGGAGAGACAGAAACATCAATGAGAGAGAACATCAATTGGCTGCCTCCTGTATTCTTTTCTTCCTTCTCATTCTTTCATTTACTCAGCAAATACCCATTTTTCAAATACCCACTATGTGATAAGGGTGGTGGGCAAGATATACACTCCCTCTTCAGTCTGTCAGGAAATATGGCATAATTTTCACAACTGCTCTTACTTATCATAAGAAATAGTCCACAGTTTCTATTCATTTCAGGGTGCATGGAAGAAGTGGTAATTCAGATGTTCCAGAACAAGATGTTCTAGTTGCTTCTCGTATATTCATTACATGAGAACTGAAAATGACTTCTGATTTATATGGGGAAGATGGGAAGGGTACAACCAGAAATGTGGTCTTGTCATTGTTTCAAGGGTGGTAGGCTCTCATAAGGATGTTTCATTTTTGTAAAAAAAGAATGGAATTTAAAAAATGTTGTCCCCAAGCAGGTCAAGAGGCCCAAAAAGCAACCTGTAGAGAGATCCCTAAGAATATAGTACATTTAGAGCTGTCAAGTCTCTTAAGTACCATTATTGCTGAATGGCTTTTCCATTATATGAGAGGTTTTCTCTAGATCCTCTTCAAGACTTGTTGTCTGAGACAGTCACAGTTGTTTTGTTTAGAAAAAACAGAACTCAAAAGCCCCAATTATGGAGCTGAATGCTTTGAATAAGGAACACTTGCCTTCAGGAACTTGAGTTGTTATGACAACCAGGGCCTTTTGGAACATCATTATTCTCTCTCAACACACTCTTTACTTAATATCTTGGTGTTTAAAGCACTTTTCTACCTTAGGCTTATTCTTTTTAAAATTTTTTTTTTCTTTATTGATTTTAGAGAAAGAGGAAGTGAAAGGGAGAGAGAGATAGAAACATTGATGAGAGAGAACATCAATTGGCTGCCTCCTGCATGCCCCCTACTGGGGACCGGGCCCACAACCTGGGCATGTGTCCTGACTGGGAATTGAATCGGGGACCTCTTGGTGCATGGATCTAAGCTCAACCACTGAGCTACACCAGACGGACCCTTAGGCTTATTCTTAAGGAGACAAAGCAATTCTTTAACTCCTCAAAGAAACACTTTTGAAATGGTGTTCTTGGGTCAGTGGATAACTGACTGAAAAAGAGAAAAAAAGCGGATTTAGACTCAAGTAACTTGTAGAAGGCACCACCAACTCTTTGCCTCATGAGAAATGAGTAGAATGGGAGAGAAGGAATGGCACAAAGTAGCACCACCTCTCTGAGTTATTTTCCCCTCTTCACTAAAACCTCCCTTCCCAGGACAGCTTTAGTTAAGTTCCCGTGATGCTTTACTTCTGCAGATGTTTGGAGGCCATGATTAAGTACCTCACACTGTGGAAGAAAGAGGGACAGGAGGAGCCCTATGTCAGCCTCACCCGAAAGAAGATGCTAATAAATGGCGAGGAGGTGCTGATAGAATGGGAGGTGGGCCACTCCATCCGGACCCTGGCTATGCACCGCAATGCCTACAAACGTATGTCACAGATCCAAGCCTTCTTGGGTTCAGTGCCCCAGCTGACCTATCAGCTCTATGTCACCCTGATCTCTGCAGAGGTCCCCCTCGGTAGAGGTGAGTGGGGTCAGGATTGGGGAGGGCTCCACTTAATCAAGGGTCTTAGAAATCTAGACCTGAGCTGTCCACAACACTGGACAATAACTTCCTGTGGCTATTAAAATGAAAAATTAAATTAAATATTTACCGTCTCAGTCATACTAGCTATATTTTAAGTGTTCAATAGCTATGTGTGGCTAGTGGTCACTTATTGTATAGCACATATATTACAGAACATTTCCATCATTGCAGGAAGTTCTATTGGACAGAACAAGTAGATAGTTAAAGAACTTGGGAATCCAGACATCTTAGGCCTACCAGTATATATGTATGTATGTATGTATGTATGTATGTATTTATTTATTTTTGGTTCTTTGTTAGTCCTCACTGAGGATATTTGTCCCATTGATTTTTGTTTTTTTAGAGAGAGAGTGGAAGGGAGGGAGGGAGAGAGAGAAAGAGAAGGAAGGAAGGAAGGGGAGGGAGGGAGAGAGGGAATGAAGGAAGGAAGGAAGGAAGGAAGGAAGGAAGGAAGGAAGGAAGGAAGGAAGGAAGGAAGGAAAAAGAAAGGAAGAAGGAAAGAAAAGAAAGGAAGAAAGAAAGGAAGAAGGAAAGAAAAGAAAGGAAGAAAGGAAGGAAGAAAGATTGTTTGCCTCCGGCACTCGCCCTGAGAAGTGAACACATGACCCTTCGATGCGTGAGCTGACACTCTAATCACTGAGCAACACTGGCCAGGGCAGGCCTACCACATTTATTAAACTGGGGTAAGCTATTTAGACTAAAAATGCTACAGATAAACCCTCTCTGGGCTAGTAATGAACCCTCTCAAAAGAAACTAGTAATACCAGTAGACAGTAGGACATTTTCTCTAGCTCAGAGTATTTACATTATACTGAGGATTTTTTGTTTGGTTGGTTGGTTTGTTTAGGGATGACTATATATATATGTTTTCATTGATTATTTATTTATTTAGTACGTGCCCCTGGTGGAAACCAAACCCGGGACTCTCTGGTCCACAGGCCGACGCTCCAACCGCTGAGCCAAACCCAGCAGGGCTTCATTGATTTTTTAGAGTGAGAGCGATAGAAACATCGATGTGAGAAACATCCATCCGCTACCTCCTACATGCCCCCTACAGGGGATTGAGCATGTACTCTGACTGGGAATTGAACAGGACCCTCTCAGTCCATGGGATGATGTTCAATCCACTGAACCACACCAGCGGGGTATAAAGCGCCTTTTAACATTATATTTTCTGCCCGGCGGGTATGGCTCAGTGGTTGTGTTGACCCATGCACCAAAAGATCACTGGTTTGATTCCTACGCAGGGCACATGCCTGGGGTTGTGGGCTTGATCCCCAGTAGGAGGCGTGTAGGAGGCAGCCGTGTAGGAGGCAGCCGATAGATGGTTCTCTCTCATATCAATGTTTCTATCTCCTTTTCCCTTTCCCTTCCTCTAAAAATCAATACAAATATATTATAAATAAATAAAAAAAAATTATATTTTTTGCTCAGACCTGAATCATTCTGAGTGTGGGGAGGGTAGGAATCTGTATTTGTTTAATGTGCCCAGTGATTTAATCACTTCTCCCAACTCCAGTAGGGAGAAAGAAAATGGGTGTGGAGTGAATACTGATGAGAGTCAGGCCTGATCCCAGTTCTGACTTTCTCTGTAATCTTTGGAGGAAGTTACCAAAGAGGTCCCTGTCTTAATTTCCCATTTGTAAAAGAGGGATCCTGAGATGAGTAAACCCTTTGGCAGAAGATGAAATGTGAGCCAGTGTTTTCAAAGTCGAGGTAAAGTACTGTTAATAAGTTTTAACAGCCTGAGATTAGTTTCATCTCCTTGGGCTGGAGCTGGCACAGCTGTGGGTACAACTTTGGATCATTTCCTTATTATTAGGTGGTGACCCTGCTTGGCAAAGCCTCATGTCTCAAATAAATGTAAAAAGGAAATTTTCCTTCTTTTGTGTTTTTCTCCACTAAGAATTGTTCATGAAGTTCTATTGGTCTTGATGCTTTTCACATACCTAGAATGGGCAATAGTGGAGGAGAAAGATCTCTGAAAATGATGTTGCTTTTCCTCCTAAGAATTTTGAAGGTTGTCAAATCATCTAATTAAATATGTATGATTATAAAACTAATACATTTACAAACTAATGGACCTACAGATACTTGTATATTCACAGAAGAATTTCTGGAAAGATATGCAAGAAACAATTTACTTCTGGGGAGTGGAAGTGAGTCAGCCAACTTTTGCTTGTACTTTATATACTTCTATATGGTTTGAAATTTGTTGTTATTGTTGTTAATCCTCACACAAGGATATTTTTCTATTGATTTTTAGGTAGAGTGAAAGGGAGAGAGGGGGAGAGAGAGAGAGAAACATGGATGTGAGAAAGACACATAAATTGATTGCCTCCCTCATGACCCTGACCAGGGCTAGGGATTGAACCTGCAACCTAGGCATGTACCCTTGACCTGGAATTGAACCCGTGACCCCTTGGTCTGCTAGGCAATGCTCTAACCACTGACCCAAACTGGCCAGGGCTGGTCCTTATTTTTATTTATTTATTTTTTAATCCTCACCCAAAGATATTTTTTCCATTTATCTTTAGGTAGAGTGGAGGAGAGGGAAGAAGAGAGAGAGAGAGTAAGAGAGCTAGAGAGAGAGAGAGAGAGAAAGATAGATAGAGAGAGACATTGATGTGAGAGAGAGACATTGACTGGTTATCTCCCGCACGACCCTGACCAGGGCTGGGGATAAACCGCAACTGAGGTACGTGCCCTTGGCTGGAATCGAACCCACGACTCTTTGGTTCACGGGCCAATGCTCTAACCACCTAGCACCTGGCCAGGTTGACCTTATTTCTTTTTAATTTTAAAATATAATGTTATTATTTTTATCTTTATTTTTTTAATTATAAAAGTCTGATGAGATAAGGATTCAAAACCATATAGGATATGTATAAAAGAGGAGCTACAGCCCTGGCTGGTTTGGCTCAGTAGTAGAGCGTTGGCCCACAGACCAACGAGTTGCAGGTTTGATTCTGGCCAAGGGCATGTACCTTGGTTTTTGTCCCTGGACCTGGTTGGGGTCGTGCGGGAGGCAGCCAGTCGATGTGTCCCTCTCACGCGTGGTTGTTTCTCTCTCTCTCTCTCCCCCTCCCACTCTATCTGAAGATAAATAAAAAAATACCCTTGGGTGCGGATTAAAAAAAGAGAGAGAGAGATAATCTCACTTCCCAAAGGTAATCTCTGTTAATCATTCAGTATATATCCTTCCAGACTTCATTTTGCTATGTAAACAGAAAACTTACATATAACATATATATGTATATTTTTGCCCCAAAAGGACTATATTAAATATTCTGTTAAACCACATGTCTTTTTCAAAAGTGAGCCAGTATGTCTTTCTTCAACAGTTATTTATACATACATATATAATAATAATGACAAATATATAATACATATTTTTCTTATATGAATTGGGTCATTCTTTCTTATTTCCCTAATCTTCTATTGGTAGGATTAAAGTTTGTTTCTAATTATTCCATGCACATTTTTTTTTTTTCGAATTTGAAGCTATGCTCCAGTGAACATCTGTGTACTGGAATGAGACTTTGTATGATAAATTCTGAGCAGTAGAATTGCTGGGTAAAAGGATATGCATGTTTAGAATTTTATCAGTACTGCCAAATAACCCCCTAGAAGGTTGTATGAATTTTTACTCTCACCAACAGTGTATGAATGTGCTTGTTTCTTCAGATCTTAAACTAAATATAATTTAGTTGTATAATTATAAAATAACTTATTTAAAAAATAATTTGCATTCTTTATTATGAATGAAGCTGGGCATCTTTTCATGCTTTATCACTGTGTTATTTGAATTGCTTATTTATATATTTTACTCACTTTTTATAGTAGTTTTATTTTTTTTAATTTGTAGGAGCTATTTAATTATTCTCACTATTAATCTTTTATCTGCTATGGATAAGTATGTATATATATATTTGTATAATATTTCTGGGTGTTTGTGTACATACACACATATTTTAAATGTGCATATGTCATACATGTAACATGTGCAGCACACATGTACAACCCATGTGTAAGATAAACAATATACTTGTATCTTCTGTATACTTGTATCTTAATTCTGAAGGATTAAATTTTTTTTTTTTATCCTCACCCGAGGATATTCCTCCACTTTTTGTACAGATAGAGTGGGAGGGAGAGAGAGGAAGGGAGACAGAGAGAGAGAAACATCGACGTGAAGGGACACATCGAGTGGCTGCCACACGCACAACCAACAGGGCCGGGGACAAACTGCAACCGAGGTACGTGCCCTTAGCGGGAACCGAACCCGGGTCTCTCCGGACCGCAGGCCGACGCTCTAACCGCTGAGCCAAACCGGCCAGGGCTGAAGGATTAAATTTTTATGTATTCAAATTCTTTATTTCTTTTAGATCTTGTGGCTTTTTTCACAAAGGCCTTTCACAACTCATATGTGATAGAGCAATTTAGCCTGATCTTCCAAATAGATGATTTTCCACAATCAATGTAAATTCCTCTACAAAAGAACAAATAATAACAATGAATGAAATAACATTTCTGTGACTGGAATTACATTAAATTATTTAGGCTCTTTTGGAAGGAATTTACATCTTTACAGGATCAATCAATTTTATATTAGAAGATAATATATCGCTCCATTTTATTAAATATTTTAAATCGATATTTTAAATCACTTTGTTGAGGTATGATTGACAAACAAAAACCTCTACCTATTTAATGTATACAACTTGATGACTTTGGGGATAAGTATACCTCCATGAAATCTCACCACAATCCATGCCATAAGTATACAAGTCTAATAGCAAAAATAGTTTTCTTGCTATAGGGCATTCACATATTTGTAAGGCTTATTTCTAGGTGTTCTCTCAGTTTTAAAATCGCCTGATTTCCAAAGTGTCATGGTGGTGCCTAAGTAAAGTAAATGTACCTATTACACTTTAGGAAATACGGGATGATGGTGATGATGATGATGATTATAGGAGCTAGCATATAGTATTTACTATGTTCCAGTTATTTCTCTAAGCCCTTTACATGTAATAATTTCATTTAATCTTTACAACAATTCTATGAGATAATTATTGTTATTATCTCCATTTTACAAATGAGGAAATAGAAGCATTGAGAGGTTAATCAAACTTCCCAAGATTCCATTAGTAATAGGTAGCAAAGATTGGATTGGAATTCAGGATGTCTGCCTTTAGAGCCTGTGTTTCTAAACATTTACTAAGCAAAGGATGTAAAGGAAGCTTTTTCATGGCCTTGTTTTCAGTTCTTCAGCGATTTCTCCTATTAAAAACTGTCTGACAATACCATCTCTTTTAAGGTTTTGTAAACAACTTTTTGGTTAATTTTCCTTTTATCTTCCCCTTGCTACTCCTTTTCTAATCCCTTGTTCTTTTGGAGGCCATCTGGATTAGCATAGATAACCATATTCACTAGCAGCATTAGATCTCTTATGGCATGAGTCTATTTGTAGGGAGACAGATGGAAGGTGTTTTTTACATTTATTGGAAGCATCAGGCTTTTCTTCTTTTATTACACTACTATAAGTAAATGAGTTCTAATTAAAGGGAAAGCATTACCACACTTGGATAGATGTACATACACTCTGACGTTCCCAACTCTTGAGCATCAAGTCTTGAGGATGGGACTGAGAGTGGTTTAGAAAGCTAAGACTATAGCAAAGAATTATGTTGCACACCTTAAACTAATACAATGTTATATGTCATTTATATCTCAATAAAAATGGAAAAGAAAATAAAGTTAAGAATAGAGACTTTCTTAAAGTCTCTATTCCAGTCTTTGAGATTCTAACACTCCAGTTAGAGCTGAAAAAGATGTAAAAAACAAAGCTGTGCTTCTTCCTTTGGGTTTCCATAGAGATGTCGTCACTTTTCTTGCAGATTATCTCCACTGCTCTAGTTCACTGGATGCAGTGTTTTTATGGGAACAGAAAGCTCAAGTAGTTTTGTTTTTTGAATGAGTACCCCTCAAGCTCCCTCAGTCTCCTTGTGAACCCTAGATTTTTCTTAGTTGCCAGTATCATTTCCTAGTATAAAGGAAGGAAAGGAAAGGGTCATGGTGTGATCTATAGTTGAGATTTAGTGTAGCAGGTTAGGTAGTATTCTGACGCTTTAGGCCCCTACTCTAACATACAGTGGTATGGATATTATAGGCTAGGAAATGGAGTTTTTATATTTTAAACCACTCTGTTGGAAGTTTAGCAATTCCTAAAGTATACCAAAGCATTGGGGTGACAAATTGCCATTGCTGATGATTAATACAAGCAACTCTAAAGTATCTCAGTGAATTGGGGAAACTGAGGTACATAGATACTTAGTGACTTTCACAAGCCTCCACACAACTGAACCAAGGAATTCTAAACATAAGTATTTTATGCTGCCTCTCTAAGCTCAGAATTCTTCATTTATTCCACAAACATTTTTTGAGCACTTACTATATTCCAGGCAGTATGTTAAGCTCTGGGGATACAGCAGTAAACAAAATAGACATGGACCCTCTGCCCTCATGGAATTTCCAGTATACATTTTGATACATTCTTGAAGCACCCATAAACAAGATTAGTTCCTTGAAGAAGATATACATCAAGGAAGGAACTTTTATAACCAAAGGCATTCTCTGTGACTCTCCTAAGACTGGTTTGTTTCAGATGAGAGCTCTTTCTACCTCCTTCATTGTTTGTTCAGAAGCCTGTTTCATCATATAGATGCTGACCTGTCTCTTTATATGTGTTCCCTTATATTAGTGACCTCTTAATGCTAGTTTTGAGACCACTCTTTTTTTTTTTATCCTCACCCGAGGACATTTTTCCAATTTTTATTCAGATAGAGCGGGAAGGAGAGAGAGGAAGAGAGAGAAACATTGATGTGAAAGGGACACATCACGTGGCCGCCACCCACACAACCCAACCAGGGCCAGGGACAAACCGCAGCCAAGGTACATGCCCTTAGCAGGAACCGAACCCGGGTCTCTTTGGACCGCAGGCTGACGCTCTACCGCTGAGCCAAACTGGCCAGGGCAAGAGACCACTCTTTTTAAAAAGTTCATTGTATATGTTTGTATGATTATTAAAATATTACAGTATATGTTAATCATGGGAAATTTAGAAAATACAGAAATGTAGAAAAAAGATTTTAAAAACTGATATAATTTCTATTATGAAAATGTATATTTTAGTTTATTTCTATTTTCTTTCTGTGCATGCTATTTATTTACATAGCTGTGTTCATACATGAGTTTGCTCTTAGGTGGGGCCCTCATGTCTCACCTATCATCTCTCTGGACCTCTGGGTCAGAATATAAGCTTCATCAACATTGACTGAATGCCTATTTTGCTTTCTTTTTTTTCTTCTTACAGTTGTGCTAATGATATTTTCCCTGATATCTGTCACCTATGGAGCTACCCTCTGCAATATGCTGGCTATCCAGATTAAGTACGATGAATACAAGATTCGCCTCGGGCCACTAGAAGTTCTCTGCATCACCATCTGGAGGACATTAGAAATCACTTCCCGCCTCCTGATTCTGGTGCTCTTCTCAGCCACTTTGAAATTGAAAGCTGTGCCCTTCTTATTGCTCAACTTCCTGATTATCCTCTTTGAGCCCTGGGTTAAATTCTGGAGGAGTGGTGCCCAGATGCCCAATAACATTGAAAAAAATTTCAGCCAGGTTGGCACCCTCATGGTACTGATTTCCATTACTGTTCTCTATGCTGGCATCAACTTCTCTTGCTGGTCAGCTTTGCAATTGAAGTTGGCGGACAGGGACCTTGTTGAAAAAGGTCAGAACTGGGCACATATGGGCCTGCACTATAGTGTAAGATTGGTAGAGAATGTGATCATGGTCCTGGTTTTTAAGTTCTTTGGAGTGAAAGTGCTACTGAATTACTGTCATTCCTTGATTGCCTTGCAGCTCATTATTGCTTACCTAATTTCCATTGGTTTCATGCTTCTTTTCTTCCAGTACTTGCATCCATTGCGCTCACTCTTCACCCACAACATAGTGGACTACCTCCATTGTGTCTGCTGCCACCGGAACCCTCAGGGCAGGGTTGAGAATTTAGAGCCATCATTTGATGATGAAGCAAGGCAAAGCATTGTCTGATTCTATCTCCGGGGTATTTGGGGATGGGTTTGGGGTGGCCCAGAGCAACTCTGAAATTAAAGGGCCTCTGTTTTCAGCAGCCCATTGTAGGCACACTCTGAGGGAGTGGAGAGTAGGATTCCTTCAGGGCCTATGCCAGAATAAATGTTTTTCTCAGGGACCTGCTTGGGCTGGCAGCTGTATGGTGAAGTGGCTGAGTAAAATCTCTCACTTTGTGTCTCATTATCAGGGATTCCCTCCAACCAGGCTTTTCTGTGCTTTTAGTATTTTACTACTTGATATGAACTTCAGAGAAGGTGAACTGTAATTAAAAATGTTTCTAATGTGTGGAAGAAATGATTTCATTGTGTCTTCTACTGTCTTGAATATTTTGTTGGTTTGTTTTTTTAAGGGAGAGAGAATGTAATAATGGCTGGGACATCACTTTCATGTTGCATGCGGTTGGAATGGTGGCTGACACTCCAAGGTAGCGTGAAGACAGAGGAAGAAAACAAGATCACAGTAAATCATCTGACACAGGATTTTCTTTTCTTTTAAAAAAAATTTTTTTCTTTATTGATTTTAGAGAGAGAGTAAGGGAGAGGGAGAGAGAGAGAGAAATATCAATGAAAGAGAACATTGATTGGCCGCCTCCTGCATGCCCCCGACTGGGGATTTGGCCCACAACTTGGGCATGTGCCCTGACTGGGAATTGAACCGGCGACCTCTTGGTGCATGGGTTGATGCTCAACCACTGAGCCACACTGGCTGGGCAGGATTTTATTTTCTAATCAGGAGCATATGTTTATCATTCCCATACCCTCAATAGATGAATTCATATCTCCCTTTCTCATGTATCTCAATGTTTACATCTCAAATCATTTAGGTATTTTGATGGGGATGTCACGCCCCTAAGGTATTGAAGGAATTGAGGTTACTATATCCACTGCATGTTGGGCTCAAGAATCCCAACATTTAGCTAACAATGCTTGCCCCTCACAGACCAGGAAGGTGAGAGGAATTCATTAGTAGCATGTAACAGTATTACAACTGCTGTGAGGAACAGTGAATAGTTCAATTTAAGACTTCTCACTCCCATCCAGTTTTACTCCTGGGACGGTGCTAAGAATTTATCTTTAGCTATTTCTCTTCCTCTTATTCAGTGTCAGGACATATTGCAGGAGCTCCCCCTTTTAAGTAAGTAGCAGGGCTGTTTGCCAGAAGTGTCCTATTTGCTGGCATATCTAGTGTGGTTTTCCCATCTTCAACCACTGCTGGGGACTAAAAGGGTTGGATAGAACTTAATTTGGGGGAGACTGGAGTGACTTTCTTTGGAGTTGAGATTTCCTTTTTCAACCCAACTCCCTCATTTCATCTTTCATAATGAAAAAGAGACTTATGTGGTCATAAAAAACTCACACTGTTCTCTTCTAACTATGTGATTCAATGTGAATATGAAAGAAATAATCTATCAGACCTCTAGAAGAACATACTGCCTCTGGAATTCAAACAAGAATTTCTCCCTAGTGCTTAATATGTCCTCCATTAAAAGCAGAAACAATGTGGAACTATAATTTGGGCCATGGGAATCAGCTACATAAGGGGTGGGTGCTATGGGAACATAGAGAGAGAGACACTGAGCTAGGCAGGCCGATTAGAGCTAGAGTGGAGATACACAGGGCAGAAAAGTATGTCTTGGTACTGAACCAGGCATATTTTCTCAGTGTATCCTCCCCAGCCTCAGTGACTTAATTTCCCAGGAATGTAGGAAGTTTAGGGTAAAGGGTGTGGAGCAATTTCTGACCTGAAAAACCTGCTGCCCTTACCCAAGGAAAAGAGACTCTAGTGATACATTATGCAAATGAACCCTCAGAACCTCCTATAGATGGTGGCCTTTCTGTTCTACAGCAGTCTTCTAGATACACTGGAATGGTGGAATGTGATGGTAGGGCAGGGAAAGTGTCCCCTTTCACCTGCAAATACTTCTTTAACTACTCTCTTTTTCTTTTAGTATGTTTTCATTGATTTTTTTAGAGAGGAAGGGAGAGAGAGAGAAACATCGATGGGAGAGAGAAACATTGATTGGCTACCTCCTGTTTGCCCCCTACTTGGGGATCTAGCCTACAACCTAGGCATGTGCCCTGACCAGTAATTGAACCGGGACCTCTCAGTCTATGGGATAACACCCAATCCACATAGCCACATCGGCCGGACAATTGACTACTCTCTTTTTACCCTCTGAAATCTTAAAGTAACACAGGGTACTAGTGTAGAGGCAAGTCTGATTGAGTGGGAAAGGAGGCAGAGATTGGGCCAGAAAATTGGTCTTGGAAGAGGAAGGCAGAACCATGAAGTTGGGGAAAAGGAGACAGGCCATTGTAACAACTTTTCTCATATTGGAAACTTGGCAAGCTAAGTATGGACAAATGAGTAAGGTAAAGAAATGTATTATAGCCCTGGCTGGTTTGGCTCAGCAGTTAGAGTGTTGGCCTGTGGTTCAGAGAGACCTGGGTTTGGTTCCTGCTAAGGGCGCGTACCTCAGTGGCAGTTTGTCCCCAGCCCTGATTGGTCGTGCGGGTGGCAGCCACTCAATGTGTCTCTTTCACATTGATAATTCTCTCTTTCTCTTCCTCCCACTCTATCTGAACAAAAAATGGAAAAGTGTCCTCGGGTGAGGATAAAAAAAATGTACTATATAAACCAGTGGTTTTCAAACTGTGCTGTAAGAATTTTCAAAACATACAATACCCGACTAGTCAGGGGCACCGACCTCTTTTCCCTTAGATTGTCCATCAGCCAACACAACAATAGCCCTCTGGTGTGAATGAATCAAAATTATGCCTACTTTTTGTCAGATTGGCAAAAATATGTAATTTTTGGTGTGCGGCAAAATTTTAGTAATTAGTTTACGTGTGCCATGAGATGAAAAAGGTTGAAAATCACTGACATATTCTCCTAAATATTTATCTACTCCAAAGTGGTCAATTTGATTTGCTCCACAAATGCTTAAAGACTATGGGCATAGAACTGAGGCACTGTAGGAGAATTAAATAATAGCTCATATTAATGAGCACTTACTATATGTCTAGCACTGTGCTTTATATGGATTATTTCATTCAATCCTCAGAACAACCCTTATGAGGTAGGTACTGATATTATTCTTCATTTTGCAGATGAAGATTCTAAGGCATAGAAAAATGAAGTAAACTGCCCAAGGTCCCAGCTAGTATCAGAGCCAGGATTCAGTCTTAGACCTTAAGGTCCAGAGCTTACACTCTTAATCGTAATACAAGCCTCTAAATCCTCTTAGGTCCTTTGTGAGATTATTTTAATATTTTAGTGATTTCAGGAATATTTTCTGGGTTGTGGCTGGATTCACATCAAACATTCTTTCTCACAAACACTCTTTATCAAAGGGCACCACTCAATTCACTCCAGAGAGAGTATTCAAGTCCTAAAAGCCCTGGGATGAACACCGAGTATTTGTTCACATGTACTTGTAGGTTGGTATGAAACTAGGGATTGGGTGGAGGAGAATGGTAAAGGGGCCCATTTCCTTTCTAGTTTCAGGATTTTCTTTCCTGTATGTTCTTAAACCCACATTTTCCAGACCCTGGTTTTCGGGGGGAAATGGAGGGATCAATTTTCACTAAGATTTGTATGAATCTTCTTCCAGAAACAACCTCTCAGAGCAGGGCAGTGCTGAAACCCATTCTTTTATAGTTCCTCTTGCCAACACTGCCCTTACTCTCATAAGAAGCTGACTTCTAGTTCTTAGAGCAGGCCACAGAATTTAGATGGTGGAAATAGTACACCCTACCCCACAGCTGTTACAGTCCTGGGAGCCTAGGTCAACCTTCAGTGCTCTTTCAAGCTACCCCCCTCAAGTCTGCACCTCACAAGGTCATGGTCCCTAATTAGCATTACAGAGTTGATTGCTATTTCACAGTGTGGAGGTGGAGTGGGCAACTGTAGGGTAGGGTATTTACCAGGACATTCCATCTAAGCCCATGGGGCTCTGTTTCTGAGAAGCCCTTTAATACAAAATCAGTGGACTCTCCAAAATATTTATCACCCCAAAATGGGAATCATCATTCTCTGAAGCTTTTGATACTGGGCTTTATTACTATCTTCAGAGGAAATATATGCCCATAATCTTATGTGTTTCCTCCTGAAGGACTGGCACCATTAGTCACACACTTTAGACCTGAGAACCTCTGGGGTGCTCAGTGCAAATTACCTCATGAGCCTTGACAACAATGCATATCATACGTAAAACTGGGAAATAGCGAGGCCAACCTGAGTGAGAGATGAGAACTAAGTGTGAAAACACATTTCTGTGTATGGAAATAATATCTGAATAGCACTGCATAATATTAAAAGGAATATTTACATATAGTAGCTCTGTTACTGTTGTATCATTGTTAGGACAACTCTTCTGAGTTGTACATGTGGATTCACATTGTTCTAACCTTTAATTCATCAAACAATTATTAAATTCTTATTTTATGCCAGGAAAACCTGTGTGAATATCTCAAAGTGCTTTATAGAGGCTCAGAGACTCAAAGGAAATCTCAAATATTGAGTGTAAGTGATGTTGGAGATAAACAGGCATTACTGGTATGAGAGTAAAGTATTGGCATACATTTTGGAAGGCAATTTGTCAATATTTGTCAAAATTAAATGGGCATGCTTTTTTTTCCTCAGAATTTTAACCTCTAAAATTTTTTTCTATGGAAACAGTCACAATTGTGCAAAGAGATATGTATAGGAATGTTCATTGTAGCACTTTGTAGTGGTGAGAAATTGGTAACAACTTAAATTTCCATCTATAGGGAAATAATTAAATTCTGGCAATTCTAAAGTTGGAATACTGTTTAGTTATTAAGAAGAATGGGGTAGATGTGTACAGCATTACTGAAAGAAAAGACAGATGGAAAAAGCAAGAGGAAAAAAGTATAGGATAAAGTTATGAAGAATTACTCAAAATTTGGAAACAAGGATGTGATAGGAAGAATAATGCTCCCCTCCCAAAGAGCTCCCCATTCTAATCCGCAAAACCTATAAATATGTTATGTTATGGTAAGGGGGAGTTGGGGGGATT